ACCTCTTGAATCTGTAAGTGTGTGTCTTTGGCCGTTACTTCCTCAGATACTCTTCTGCTCCATTTTCTGTCTTAGGAAACCCCACTTCCAGGCATGCTACGCCTTTTGAGAGTGTCCTTCCCATCACAGAGGCTCTGTTCTCTTTCTCTTTTTTCCTCAACCGTTTTTCTCTTAAATCCTTTAGATTGGATAATTTTTTATGATTTATCTTCAAGTACCCTGACTCTTCTGGCATCTATGTCTTACTGATCGTCCTGTCCTATGGGGATTTTATTTCAGATATTATAATTTTCATTATAGAATTTTCATTTGGCTCTTTTTTATAGTTTCTATTTCTCTGTTGACATTTCCTATCTTTTCGCTAACTATGAAAAAATTATCTTTCATGTCCTTGAATATAATAGCTTTTTAAAGTTTTTGTTTGCTAATTTTGCCTTCTGAGTCATATTTGGAGCTGGCCTCCTTTAGATTATTTTTTCCTCTTGAGAACGGGTCGCATTTTCACGGTTACTTGTGTATTGAGTAATTTTAGAATATGTCCTGAACACTGTGACTGTTATGTTGCAGAAGCTCTGAGTTAGACTGTATTCCTCTGAAGGGTAGTCAGCCGGCGGTCAGCCGGTCTGTTGGTTGTAGCCGGCATTTAACTTCCCTGGTCCCAAATTGCACACTCCGTCCATGCTGAGGGTCGTAGCTCCAGGCTTAACTCACTTCCAGCAGCCCGAGCTGGGTGCGTGAAGGCTGCCCTTCTGTGCACATGGTTTTGGTCAGCTGGAGATTTAGGCAGAGTTTATAGGATTTGAGATACACCCTCCTTAGCACTCCCCTTGGGCCTCCCCCACCCCCCACTTTCCTCAGTGGTCTGGTTCTTCAAACCAGTAAGACTGGAGCCTGCTCTCTAGCAAATGGCCATTAAAGAGTGGGGACCCCCCTGTGCTGTTCCCTCCCTCCAGGTCAGCCCCCCCAGAACATGGCTGCTGTAGGTCAACCCCTGTGCTACCGTGGTGTTTCTTACGTCCATCGTCCATAGTTTCTTTCTGCAGGAGGGCTGGTCAAATAGTAGCTACTCCGACTTGGCCAGAAAGAGAAGGAGATCACCAGTTTTAAAGTACGGTTTTAGTGGAAGTCACTTTTTGTATAATTTGGAGATGAGTAATGCCACAACTAAGCAAATCGTATTATTTCCTGCAGTTTGAGATACATAATAAGTCAAAAGACAAACGTGGTTGTGTTGTGTTGAAGAAACTAGATGTCCAGTCTGTGGCGCCTGGTCGCAAGAGGGGAAGAACAGAGGCGCCCCTTTAACCCTGGTTGTGGCATCCAGACACCAGGTCAGACAGTCACACATGGACCGTCCCCAGCACCATATCAAGTCACTAGACTTGTTTTCTGCAAAGATACCCGGGTTTTTTGTTGTTACTAAAAGATCAATTCCATTCTTCTGTGGTGAGGCAGTTTTGGGTAATTACGAGGGATCATGTTTCAAAAACTGGTATTCCCATGAACTTGCCAAAACAAGCCTGTTCCCTCTGGGCTCCTCTTCCTTCCAGTTTCTTGCTGCTCTTTCTCCGGGTATTTTCCAGATTAGCTTAAGAAGCTATGAACCCAGACTGATTTCATGTCCAAAGCAAATTTTATGATGTTATCGTAGAAGTATTATGTTCAGGTGGTCAAACTCCAATTGTTGAAGAAAAAGTTACTCAGAGTACTTCTCAAAAGAAGAAGTGTTTTGTAGAGAATAGTAGTATAGTCACTCTCAGGAAAAATAGGGCAGAAATGAAGTAGATTAAAAAGAAACCCTCACTTCTGTCCTAGTAGTATTTAAGGCAGGCAAACGTACAGAGCTAAGATATTCTTTAAAGTTTTACTGGCTTTTTCAGATGCTTTCTCTCCATCCTGACAGTGGGCCGGACACACCGTAGTGTTCCCATTTCACGATGTGGAAGCAAGGTGGCAAAGGCAGGGCTGCCACGGCCCAGAGCTCAGCGGAGGGGCTCACAGCCGTCGCCCTTACTTCTGGGGCAGCTTGAACGGCTCAATTATCAGCCTTCCAAGACTGGTTGCCCTTTTCCACTTGAAAACTTGTCTGTGTTGGAGATTCATTTTTGTACCTTAGCTCAGTACTGAAATCGAGGAATCAGACCACTTTCTTGCTTTCCATGAAATACCTCAGACATGAAATCACATTCTGTCACTCCAAAACAGAAATGTCCTAAGGCCTCCCCTTCCCAGTGCATAGAGGCCAAGGGACCGAGTTCACGGGGTGCTGCGGACCACGAGACCACGAGATAACAGCGCAGAGCAACCCTCCGAGCTCACTTCTTTTAATGGCTTTTTCTGTTAAAAGTGAGAAGGTAGAAAACTAACATAAAATAAAGAACTCCTTCCCCCTCCTCACAGTTCTCTCCTGTATGGGACTCATGTACAAAGACATGATAATCACATACTCCAGTGTTTGTTAAGTGAAAAGTCTTAGCTTTTATTGTTCGTCTATTTGCAAGTTGCAGACTTAGGAACCACCCTCCCAGGAAAAACATGAGGGCTCCTTGCCAGCTCACGTCAGGCAGTCAGAGCTTTCCGATGGAATGTATTGCTACTAAAAATATTTGTAGTTTGGGAAAATATGTTTAAATTTGACCTCCTTGACACACTGCACATTCTAGCTCTTTGCTCTGGGTTCTTCAGCAGCTATTAAAAGAAAAGTTCAGAAATGTTTCTGTGTGTAATCTTTATCCTTCTGCAGAACCGTCTTCCTGCTGTAAAAACAGGTACTTCAGGAGTTAGTTATGTTCTTGACAAGTCATGGTTTCTCAGAAGCATCTTGACATGCTGTTTTTGGTATGAGAATGCAGTCCTGAGATAGGAAGGCCCTGGTTATCACCGCATTCCTTGAGGCACAAGAGTGGCATCCTCAGTTGGAGACACTGCTGTGCCTACCCTATGCAAACGCTGTACAGCTGGCAAGAGAAACCGCATCCAGGCTGACAGCCCTGGGAAGCTTCCGGTCTGAATCCCCAAGAGCAGGCAGATAGCACACATGGGAAGTTTGTAATGAAGGGTTCAGACCGTAAATTCAGTAGGTCAGAGAATAGGGGAAAGTGAGTGGGTGGAAGAGTCAGGACAGACAGCCTGGCAGGGTCTCCTTGTGGCAAAGGGTCTCACAGGACCCGTGGGGAGGTTTTTGTGGGGAATGGTAACTCTAAAATCAGGATGGTCCATTTCGTAAACAACCCGTGTGAAGTAAATTGCCTTAAGGGGACCCGTTTAAAACAGAGTTCTTATTGCCTTAAAGAATATGTCACTCTTGGCCTTCTCATAGCTTCTTGTATTTTTAATTATGTGAAGAACTTGGAAAAAAGGACAGACTCTTGTGATTTTTCTTGATTTTTACGGGCTTTTCAGTTTTAGAAATTCTGATTCAGGGTCTGCTATTTCTTTTGAGGGTCAGGTAATTGAGAACAGGGCACTGAACAACTCACCAGAGTTGGTTCCACTCTGAGGCCCCTGGTCTCAGCTGACTGCTCCCGGTGGCCTTCTCAGAGGAAGGGGCTTGCAGCCCTCCCCGTGGGAAGCTCAGGCCCCCCTGTGATCCAGGACCTGTACTGACTGCAGGGGTGCGAGGATGGGCCGCCAGGGAGCAGCCTGCGGGAGCGAACCGCAAGCAAGCAGACGTTCCAGGTGCACTTTGACGAGGGCCTAGTGGTCTGACCTGGGCCCCGTTCCCAGCGGGGCTGACAAGCGTGCACCTGGTCAGTCTGGAGCGCGACCCCGAATCCTGAAGTATCATTAAAGTTGCGTGTGGTTTCCTCACCCACGGTCACCAGCTGGAGGAAGAAAACCAAGATCACACTTGGAGGCGGGGTGGAATCTTCTGACTAAAACTTTTCTCTGAAGTGTTAATATGACCATTGAGGAAAACATTCCCTTTCCTTTAGGAAAAAAAAAAGCCCTTCCGTCTATAGTAATGGTTTGCTGACTCAGGGCACTTATGAGATGACTCCTGTCTGTCTGTCTCTTGATTGGAAGGTGATCGCGTGAGTTAGGTTGTAGGAGAACCAGCACGCGCCAGCCTCCAGTCAGGCAGGAATGTCTTCCCACATTAGAAGAGGTCTGGAGCGGCTGACCTCACCCCTTCATGAGTAATTCTGGGTGGGTATTTGCTGCACTCTCTTAGGAGGCTGGAAACTGAATGAGCTGCATTATTAGAACTCCGGAGCTGGAGGCATGTAGGAAAGAGCCGCTTGCCTCCGTGAGGACGAGGGTTCCCACTGGGCCCCAGGGACTCTGTGTGGAACAGGAAGTCATAGCAAGGGGGCCGCTGGCTGCCTTCTGGGCCGCTGGTGTGACGGCAGACGGCCCGGACTAAAGCCGCATAGCAGGCCCTGAGGAGCGGCGGCCACGGGAGTATTGGGGACGGCAGATAGACTCTGAGTGGACAGGCAGTGGTAAGTAGCGGGGTTACTAACTCCGGTGTTGCCAGGGTAAAGCGACCAGGATTTTCAGAAGCACTGGTAAATACTGCTGCATATTTCCTGTGTTCCTGGTAAGATTAAAGTTACTGGTTAAGCTGAAAGTTAGTAGGAAGATCACAGTGAGCAGTCTATTGGTCCAGTTGGTAGTTTGTCACATGTGCTGATGTGGTCACAGCATGGGGGCCTGTGTTCATGTGAACACGTCTGTGCTTGGAACTCAGGGTGATTCTGTTCTGCTCAGAATTAACTTAGCACACAAGCATTCCATCTTGGCTCGCCTCTGGTTTTCCACAGCTTCTCCTTGTCTTAACCAGCTGTCTTCTTTTTACCAATGGCTGGGCTGAGGATGGTCTGACCGTTAGGACCAAGCTTAGAGTCTTTTGTGAGAGGTTTAGAAACCTGGTCCTTACTCCCTGCTTTATTGGGACCATCTGTCAGCGCCCGGCGCCCCGTGGATAACTATGGGTGGGGTCTGATGTGTGCACACTCTGTTGTCAGCCCCCCTTGAACAATGTATTGTTTCTCTAGCACAATCCTGGAGGAAGAGAAGGCTCAGCAAGAAGAGCGGATGAGGATGGAGTCCAGAAGACAGGCCACAGTGTCCTGGGACTCCGGAGGGTCAGACGAAGCACCACCCAAGGTAGCAAAGGCCCCAGCCTGGCCCTGGCGCCCCTCCTCCCGACTTTTGGGGTCTGTGGCATAGGCAGCTGCTGTCTGGGGGAGGGGGACGGACCCAATACCAGGTTATTCTGAGCGTGATCATCACAACAGCAACTCTCATCTCTTCTTTGCCGCGCTGCCTACTACCCACGTACGTGTGCACATGTTTTCCCAGTGTGCTTTTCAGCTATAGGCTGTTCTAAGCCATGAGCAATTGGATCAGATGTGATCTTGAAACGCTCTTCCTCTCCCCTCCTCCACATCATCAGACTTGGGGAGGTTTTCCTTGTTGGTTCTCAGGGCCTTTGCTAATGACAAGTCAAGATTCAAACATCGGATGGATTAAAACTAGACCATGAATGCCTTACTTTTTGCTTTATTTTAAAATGACTCTGACTCTACCTGCCCCTGTTCCTTTGGGTTTGGTCTGGTTTGGTTCTGAACCTTGTGCACACTTCCTGCATTTTTCTTGTCTGGCTGCTGGCCGCGCTGTCGGTGTGGGAACTGGGGACACACGGCATTTGCTTGTTCCAATCCGCTGCCTCCTCTGCCCCGCCTGCCATTCCCTTCCCATCCTCCACCGCTGGGAGGCGGCCAGAGCGTCCCTGCTACGCTGCTGGGCTGTGCCTGGGGGGTTGGGGCCCCCTGGGCCTCTAGGTCCTGAGATCAGGAATTCTTTATACCTTTTGCCTTTGATAGGAAGATTGTTTCACAGACTTGCTTACTTGCCTGAATAATCTACTTCAGATCATCTGAAATGCAAATAGATAGCAGGGTTTTTTGCAATTCCTAGTTAATCTGCTATTTAGCATTTGATTAGCTGAAAGTATATTAAGAAACTTTGACAGTTCTTTTCTTTTCAAAAAATGTTCAGAAATCTGTTAGCAGAAAGTACTGTTTAAACATCATACCACTTGTTTTGTCGATGCCTGAAGGCTTCTGTTTTCCTGGCCAGTGTTTTAATCTGTGTAACGTGAGCATCATCATGCATTTAAAGTGAATCCGGGTGCGTGACATGGTTCCCCAGACTTTCAGAGGTGAAGTGTTCCCTGGCCCAGCCTCCTCAGCAGGTAGAAAGCTGAGGCGCGGAGTGGGCGGCCCCACCTGCTGCCGCTGGCTGTTCGCCTGAACAAGTCAGTGAAGCAACCAGAAGATTTCTCTGTCTCTCTTAGTTTCAACAACATGACAACAAATCCTTAGGACCCACATAAAAACTGGGAAGCCCTCATCCTAGCATTCAACACCATCCACTTCACACAGACGAGTTCGCCTGTTCTTGACTCCGTGACAATTGCAGACTCATCCAGGACCGGGAGGGGAGGCCCCGGTAATTCCTCAGGCCTAGAAGCCAAGGGGCTCTGTTGCCGCAGGCTCTGATGACCGGGGAGCGATGTGCCTCTTGCCCGTCTCTGGTGTTGTGAAGGCCACACGAGGTAGTACGTTGGCCACGCCTGATTTAGTCACAAAATGCAAGGCACCATACTTCTTAGCTGATGAACACCAAATAGTGGTGCACCCCTAAAACTTAGAGAGTTAAAGAAAGAACTTTTTCCATGTAAACATTCTTCTATATCTAAGTCTGTAGTATTTTTAATAATTTCCACTGGACTGGGTTGTGAAAGCTATAGTATTAGGTTCGTGGACAGAAATGGTTAGGCTTTTTATGTTGTGGAATACAAAGGTGAGTTCTAAATTTTTAACTATCCTTACATCTCTTTTTCTGAGATGTTTTCAAAGTGCCGTCTTTGAAAGATTGTCTTTCAAAGACAGTCTCAGTAATAGTCTTTGGAGAGAGCCAGCATGGCAGGCCTTTGCCCTGTAGGTGCCCATTAGATCAGTGGGGCGCCTCAAAGTACAATCCTTCCTTGGGCGTCTGGGGCCCCCAAGACCATTTCAGATTGCCGCGGATCAAAACCCATTCTGTAGAATGTGAAGGCGTCAGATGCCTCGTGCACTATGTTGCTATTTGCACTGATGTTGCCAGCATAACCGCGACAAAGCTGCTGTTACCTGGGCACAAGTCAGGCAGCGGCCAACTGCCTCGTGTCACTGCGTTCTTCCCCAGCGCTCACACAGTGAGGAAAGGTGCAGTTGCTTAAGGTGGATGAAAGTTGTCGTCAGTGAAGCAACGGAGAGTGTCCTAGCTGAGGAAACAGCACCTGTTAGCACTTCTCACTTACAGCAGGTGCGTGCGTCCAGAGAAGGCACCCGCTGGATGGCACAGGCATGCTGGGCCGGTGGCCATTTTCACGGCAGACCAGTGTGACATGAAGGACAGCCAGCAGGCACGCTGCAGTTGTTACCTTCTCAAGGAAGAAGCAAGACTCTCTCAGCAAGGAAAACAACTGATAGTATCTGTGCCAGTCATAACATTGGAGTTTTCAAGCAAAATTAAAATTCTGAAAAAGTTAAATCCATCACTGTGACCTTGACAGCTTCAAAATTCTTAGACCTTTCTGATGAGCTCAAGGTGATATTACAAATGCAATTTTTTTTTCATATTATATATTGAAATGTGTCTACATTGGGCAGCTCTGCATAACCCAGTGGCCCGTATTTCCCAGATGATCAGTGCAGGATCTTACCAAACCTCACAGGGGTGAAGGTTCAGCCACAGTGTAAGGTAGAGTAATGGTTTTGATGTGGCGGTACCACTGTGGGCTCAGGTTCCACATTGCAAGTTACCCTGAAGAAACTACCACTTGTTGAGTTTTGGTGTAGTATCAAAAAACGACATCCATGGTAGTGCCAAGAGACTATTAAAACACTGCTCCCTTTCCCGCTTGCACAGCTGTGTGAATCTGGGGTGTCCTTATAGACTGCACAAGGTGGCACATCACCCCAGCCTGAATCCCGAAGCAGGTCGGGGACCCAGTGCTTCCATTCAGCCTGACTCCACAGGGAGAGAGACAAACATGAAAGGTGCCACTTCTCCCACTGGCTTTTTGTTTTGTTTTGAAAAAATTGTTATTTTTTTAACCTGTTCTGGTTTGTCATTTTGAAGTGTCTGTTTTAATTTCTAATAATGTTAATATTGATAGATACATTCTAAATAAAAGCTCTTGGAGTCCTCAGTAACTTTTGAGAATGTGAAGGGGCCCTGAAAATAAAATGTCTGCAAGTGCTGCCTAGAACAGTGTTCCTGAGCCCCGATAAGACCCTGCACTCTGTTTACATAAGCAGTACCTTAACATGTCCCACGTACTGATCCTGAAATAAAATACATAGGTAATAAAATAATTCACTAATTTCAGAATACTGATACTGCCAGGAGACTGCTAACTATGCAGGAGAAATAAAAGTGATTTTCAATAACACACACACACCTGTGTAGAACAGCAGGTATGAGGACACCAGGACGCACAGGGAGCCGGCCAGGTTCCTGAGCCTGTGCGGGGACGCACACGACCCACAGCCACAGCCACAGGCGTCTGATTGGGCTTGGTGGCATGGGGGAAGAGCTTGGTAACAAAGTAAAATTGGCCGTCAATATATACAGTATTGGCTGTCCTGGGAAGTTCAGTGTCTGATGAACTGTGCATAATATCATTTGTGTTCGTGTAAAATGGAGTTGGTTCTGGGTTCAGAATTCAGAAGTTGGCCATCGTTTTACGTGTGTAAGAAAGAGAGACATCTGAAGGTGGAGTAGGTCCTGCTTGGGCCCGGCACCTCCTGCCTGAGAGCCTCTGGTTCAGGGTTTATCAGCTTTCCCTTTGTCTCCACCTCACTGGGAGAATTTCTCTAGAAATTCCCTCAGCAAGCTGGTCTGCTTTGTTAAAAATCTCAGTTTCCAGTGTCGAGGAGGCCATGTAGTGACCCTGCTGAATCACAGTACTTACTAGCAGGCAACACTCTTGGGTACTGATGTGAAGCCATCCTCAGCATGTCATATGTTAGCTTATTCAGCCTCCGTGACAGCCCTGTCCCTACATCCTCGCTGCAGACATGGAGGCATAGAGAGAGGACTTGCCCTGACAGTAAACACCGCTGTCTGGCACAGAGCTGGCCCTCGTGAGTGCCATGTGGAGCTCGTGTGTGCAGAGCCCAGAAGCACAGCTGTTCTCTGCGGCTGCTGGTGGCAAGTCTGCCTTCCGGTGTTCCTTGTACAGCACTTTGCCGACCATACAGCTTTCATCTTCTCATCTGTTTCTTTTATTCTGAAATAGAACCTTATGGGTGTTATCATTTGCCACCCATATAAGTATTTGAGTCCCGGGGGGATGCTATTTAGAGGTTTTGCCACTCTTATCATGTTGTACTTTCCTTTTTATTTAGTGAGTCAGAAGTATACTTGTCACAGAGCATCACAGCACAGCAAGTTTGGAGTCAGGCGGCTCTACCGTTGCCTTCTCTGCAGCCTATTCATATTGCCTGACTTATCTGAGCCTCGGTTTTATCCTCTAGAAGATGGGGTGGTCATATTACCTGGTTGCATAGATCTCAGATGATCAAATTCTATGTAAAGCAACTAGCTCAGTGCACACAGAGGACACACCGAATGCACGCTGCCTGGGTTACTTCTGTGCCACTTCCGTAGTTCAAGCCACAAGTCCCTCAGCTAGCTGTACACCTGGCAGCTCTGCTTGCTGTCCTGATTCTTGGCTCTGCGTCCTTCTGCACTTGGACTCCAGGAAGCCTTTCCCGTACGACCATTACAGTGCATACACATGAACACATACCTTTAAAATGACTGCTGCCACTCAACTGTCAGACTAGAGATAACCTCTTTTTAACTATTTGTTCCAATGAAACCTTTAAAAATACAAACCTGAAAGGTAGTCCCTTGGGCTTCATGGAACACACTTTGGAAATTGCCACCCTAGTACACAGAGTAAAGCTTATGATGACCCTCTGTGCCTCTTCCCTGTTTCAGGGGGCCTTGGGGACCTATCCTCACATGTAGGTTTGGAGTAGACAACATCCGGGACACTGAAACGTGACAGGTGATGGGATAAGGAAGCAATTCCCAGCCTCAGTTGGCAGGCCCACAGCAGGGCAAGCCCCGGTTAACTGCAGCCCACCTCAGAATTTGAAAACGTGCCACAGCGGGGAGCAGAGGACTTAGGTTTGTGTCAGGTGGGAGGAGTCAGGAGCACCGTGTGAAAAGCTCAAAGGACAGGTGTTGTGCTGGTTGAGGTAAGAAACACGCCAGGCAGGGGGACAGTGAGGCTGCTCCTAGAGACTTGGATTTACTCAGAACCTAACTTGAGCACAGCATGTGTTCGTCACACATGGACCATGTGGGACCATCGGAAAGAGACACAGGAACTAGGTATTCCCTTCCCTAGGCTTGCTGGGGCCCAAGTCCATTTCCTTTTTTTCTGGTCGTACTTGGCAGAGAATAATGGGTTTCCACCTTGTGAAGTCCCTGAGGTCCAGAAAGCTTTGCCGACTTATTTTCTACTTCAGACTAAACCGTCCTTTGGCTGTGAACTTGGAATGCACACGTCTCGTCAACAGCATGAGAATTTTAGAGCTGGAAATGGTAGTAGAGTTCCTCTAAGTTCAGCTCCCCCTTTATAGGTGAGGAAATAGAAGCCGGGGGGCTCACTCCGCTGCCTGCAGCCGCACGGCCCACAGGCAGCAGGCCAGACCGGGGTCCGGCCTCTCAGGCTCCAGCTTGCTGCCCAGGTTGCATTTCCTTGATGCCAAGTGGCGCTGAGCATCTTTTCGTGTACTTGTTAGCAAGTGGTATATCTGCTTTGGGTCTGCTCAAGTCCTTTGGCCACTGTTTAATTAGATTGTCACTTACTGTCGCATTACAGAGTAATTTATATATTCTGGATATGATCTCTTATCAGATACATGATTTGCAAATACTTCCATTCTGTGGGTTGTTGTCTCAGGGTCTCAGTATCATCTGCAACACAAAAGCTTTTATATTGATGCAGTTCAATCTTTTTTTTTCCTTGTTGATCAAGCTTTTGGTTCATATCTAACATTGCCTAACCTAAGGTCCCAAAGATCTGCTCCTATATTTTCCTGTCAGAATTTTATAGTTTTAGCTCTTCCATTAAGATCTATGATCCTTTTTGAGTTATTTGTGTCTTCTGTGGGGAAGAGATCCAGCTTCCTTTTCTCACGTGTGGCTATCCTGCTGCCCCAGCATCTCCTGTTGAGGACTATTTCCCCATTGAAATGTCATGACACCCTTTATGATTCTTTCCAGCTAAGCCCTTTTAGAGAAATATCTTTCTGTTCTTTTCAATAAAACATAGATTTACCAAAATAGTCAGAACGCTTATTCATGTAATCCTCTGTTGATTTGTTCACAGCCCAGCAGACCTGGTTATCCTAGTCCAAGGTCCAGCGAAGGATTTTATCCCAGCCCCCAGCACATGGTACAAACCAATCATTACCAGGTATGCCAGTCATTACAGATATAAGATGTATATTTTATTCTTTAGCACATATGGGGGTGGGGGAGGCACATTGTGCATTTATTTGTTTTTTATTTCTTGACTCACAAGTAAGATTTGGTGACAGGAAGCTCTCAGAGACGGTTGTTTCGGCATCCCCAGGCAGAGGAGACTAGTAGTATCTCGGTCTTAAAGCAGCTGAGCAGCTGTCATCTCCCCCTGCTCTCAGGTCCATGCCTGCCTGTCTCGGTAAAGTGCAGGGTGCGCCCTGCAGAGGTGCTTCTACACTGGGAAGTTTCTGGAAGGCAAGAATAAAATTTAGAATTACCTTACAAACCAGATGCAGTGTCATGTGGGTGAGCATGGAAAGACTATTAGACTTACAGGAAGATACCCTGTGCATGTTAGATAAGACCATTCTTGGAAGGAAAGGCCCAGAAGCAAAGTCAGTCGTTTTTGTTTGCCTGATGTTGAGGGAAGAGTATTAGCTTTTGGGGGTATAACTTACTTAACTGTGAAATGAACAGATCTTAGTTCTGACAGACGCACACCCCAGCGGGCCCACACCCACATCAAATACAGAACACTCCTCTAACTGCAGAAAGCTCCCTCCTGCCCCCGTCAGCCGCCCGCAGCCCAGACGCAGCCACTGTCTGAGCTGACGGAGGCTCTGCTGCTGCGAAATCCTGGCAGCGGGCCCTGCAGTGGCCCCCAGCTCAGCCTCTCCCGCGGTGTGCTGCCTGGGGGCTGACGTCTTGCTGAGGGTGTCAGCAGTTCATTCCTTTTTAATGTGGAGAAGTATTGTATTGTATGACTCTATCACAGATGGTTTATCCACAATAATGTCGTTCTGATAATTTTAAAAAGTTTGTCAAATAATTCCCAAGAAATAAAGTAGTCTCTTGTAATTGGTCTGGCTTATGGCTTTATTATAGCCGTGTCTTTTATATAGCTGGGCTTCCCGCCCATTGATATTTACAGCTACTTGACTAGGTTAGTTGTGATGACCAGACTTAAATAGAAAGTGGGTAATTGGAGAACAGCTAAAATACAAAACAAAAACCCTGTAGGTCTGGAGAGGAAAGCCAAAGACCCCCTCACTTGCCGCCCTCCTCAGGGGTCTCAGCATATAAGGGGGGCGGGCGCCCTCTTTCCCGCTCCTTCCCCAGGTGATGGAGAGTCAAATGGCAGTGTTGGTGTCCCTTATGTGCCACTAATATATGGCTTAATTTAAGGCTTCTCAGATCAGTACAGACAGAAATTCTTCACTGTTGGTCTAGGGTCCCTGGCGGGGGTGCGGGAGACAAGCACATGTTGGTGGCAGTTTAGATCAGTGAGACCCTGCTTCGCTGTCTCCGGATCCCAGACCCCGATTCTGAAGTGGAGTCCAGGAATGCCGCGTCATTAGTGAGCCTGTGGGGGATGCTGTTCTAGGATAGCCACTGCCTGGAGGAAGACTCGAGTCACTGGGCTGTCCAGGGCAGATCTTCATAGCAAGCTGGCCCAACTCCCGGCAAGCATCCAGCCCCTCTGCCCAGCACTGTTCTAGGCACTGGGAACATGCAGATGAGTGTGGGCTCCCTTCCCATGGTGGGAGGTGCTCACAGGGCCCCTCTGCCACCACACATCTGGATTGCTGATCCCCTCATACTGTGGCTCATTGTGTGGCATGAAGGAGCCAGAACTCCGATGCAGGACTGTGGTCAGGACAGCTGGAGGGGTGTGAGGCTAAGGATAGAAGACCCACATGTGCCACTGCCCTGGCTGACAGCGGAGGGCCCTGGGGCAGCCCAGCATCTGTGCCCGGCCAGTAAGGAAGTCAGAGCTCAGTAGCAGCGTGTGGTTCCAGAATGGTCCAGAGAAGACATGACAGTGCCTAGTAGTAAGACAGTGAACATGGTGAGGGTCCTGGCAGGCCTCTGCGGGCTGCAGCCCAGGGGCTGGGGCATGGCCGTGCACGGCACTTCCGGAGCTTAGGGTTCTGGCACGTGTTAATTATTATTAAAAGTCTGTCCCCTAGAGTGGAAGCCCCTGAGGGCAGGGACTTGTGTCTCCTTTAAGTGCCTAGAACAGTGTGTGGCACAGAACAAGGGGTCAGTGAATGAATGAAAACATTCTTTTTTTTTTTTTTCATGAAATGAATGATTAACCTCACTCAGCCTCAAGTTCCTTTATCTTGTAAACAAGAACAGCTACAGGACATTTCCTGGTGTTATTTCATGTTCCTTTTTAGCCTAAAACACTCATCTGATCCTTTCACATGGTTGGTGTTTTATAGAAAACTACTGTAGGTTATTTGAAATCTTAGTTGTGAAATTCCTGCATGTCCTCCAGCAGTATATCCCTCTTGACCAAAAATAGTGAAACCGCATTTTATGTGTAGTAGAATTATTACTAAAATATTTGCATTCAAGGAAACTGAAAACTAACTCTACATCTTATTTGAAAGTTACTTACTTATTGTCAGTGTGGAATTTTAGTATAAATCAGTGGCTAGAGTCCTAACAAAAGCACAAAATCTCCATTGAAGGGTGTGTTAATATTTGGAAATGTCGATCTGGCTGTGCTTTACCTCATCAAAAAATTAACTGACAGCCCTGGCCACCCAGCGCTAGCCTCGTGAGTCGTGGAAGCAAAGACTGATTCCATGTGCTCTCCCGACGGAGGAAGGGCACCAGGTGAAGGAACTCTTACTTTACTTCTGCCCTGAAGCGTTTGTCCATGTCCAGCTGCCCGTCTTCTGTGTCTCGGCCATCATTAGTCCACGAAGGCGTGGCCTCTCTGCCATCATCAGCCCTAGTTCCTTAGCGGACACGCATCTGCGAGGAATGTTTGGTTGGGGGAGCAGGAGTGGGTTGCGAAGGAAGGGGGTTCTGGAGCCCTGCCTTGCTTCGCCACGTCTGTGGCCTCTGTTGCTTTGCATCCAAGGGTGACCTGCTCTTAGCACCGGAGTAAGTGTAAAATGCAGAGTAAGTGACTTCCGATTTTCTCATGTGCATTTGTGTAGTTGTCTAATGCAGCCATAACTGATTGCCTTTCTTGAGGTGTTGGTTGAGAGTCCGTTTCCTAGCCTTAGCAGCTTCCGGAGGTCTCCTACATTCCTCGGCTTATGACCCCTCCTCTACCTGCAAGGGCAGCAGTGTTGTGCCTCTGACCTTTCTACCCCACTTCCATCCCCTGCTCACACCCCCTTCCGTCCCCTGCTCACACCCACTTCCATCCCCTGCTCCTTCCCTCTTGCTTTTCTAAGGACCTTTGTGGTCACATGGAATACACTCAGTTACCCGAGGATAGTCTCTCCACGTCCAGATTTCTCATATAACCCTGTAGCCAGTCCCTGCCATGTAAGGGACCATATTCACAGGTTTGGGAGGAGGATGCGGACGGACCTCTTGGGGAGCCGATTCCCCACTGTGGTGTTTTCCGTGATCTCTTGGTGACCTCTCACATGGGAGGCAGAACTGTGCAGAAGACACGTGTGTCAGTTGTGGCCCTGCCTCCTCACTCATTTCCAGGTCTCTGGCTACCCTGGCTCACATGGGATCGCAGCCCTGGCTGGCAGCATCTACCCAGGTCAGGCATCTCTTTCGGACCAAACAGATTCGTGGAATCACAGGCCACAGGAGATGTCGGTGTGGCAATCCAGTGTGGAGGTAAACGGGATATTCTAGGGCTTCCAGTTTGTTAACTGAGGAACCCTGGCCCAAGGTGCCTTTGATTCTAAATCTAGATTATGATGACCTATTTCTCACATCAAGATACTACATTTACTCAAATGCTTCCTGGTTCTGTGAATCTTCTCTACTAAAAGGAGAGATGCTAGCTACCATCAGTGGCCCATTCATTTGAAAGGCAGAGCCCTGAGTTTAATATAATCACCGTCTACATGAGGCCAAGGAAGAAACAGGAAGACAGAGCCTCCATTCTATGGACCTTGTTTAACTTCTACTAAATTTTCCTGGTAAAACCAAGAACCACTCTTGTAATATTGGAAGTTATTTTTTTGAATCCAAGAGCATCTATAGTTGTCTGCTATTTATGTTCTTTTCCTTGGAGTAAACATGTTTAATAACTGCTTAATATTTGATAGTATACATGTATCATATTTAATCCTCCTCCTACTATTTTATTTTCCAGATTGTTTCCACCTTTTTTTACTGTAACTAATGATGCATTCTTTGCACCTATCTTGGAGTATTTCTTTAGAATAATTCCCTGCAAGTAGAGCTGTGAGCTGAACACTTGTATACTTTTTAAAGGTGCTTGGCACATACTGACTTGCAGCTCCCAGACAAGTTGCTCCCACAAGCAGAGCCTGAGAGTCCGTTTCTACCACTCTCACGATTTTGCTTAATTTTTAGAAAGGTGCACAGAAAAAAGGAAGAGCATCATAAGTAGACTTCTGAGAGTGGGTGTGCTGTTGTAACTCCTAGGACTCTGCAGCTCTGGACCTTCGTGGAATGGGGCAAGTGTTGCCACCCCACCTGATGGAAGAGCGGCTGATCCGACAGCAGCAGGAGATGGAAGAAGATCAGCGCTGGCTGGAGAAAGAGGAGAGATTTCTGGTAATTGTGTTTCAGAAAGGTCTCCTCCACTTTTTAAGTCCTGCTAGAGTTGACTACATTGCAAATGATTGCAAACATCCATCTGTAACAGTTAAAGTAAGAGTTATAGGTTTATATGTGATCCCTAAAACTAGCAATAGTGTGTTAACTTTTCTTGAATTGCTTCTTCAGGATAAATTTTTAAGATTTTGGAAGTGTCATCACGGGCACAGAGTGAGTGTCTCTGTGGTCGCACGTCCCTGCAGCGTGTGCACAGAAGTGGCCCCCGTTTGAGTGTCAGCTCGCACTCAGACTTTGCATCGTGCTTCTGCAGGACGTGTGGCTCCGGGCAGGAGTCCCAGAGCTCGCTGGGCCACACTCCTCTTTCTCAGGCTGACAGATACAGATCTCTTCCCACATGTATGTGGGGTTGTGGGTGGGAAGTGTCAGGCAGCTCTTGCCAACCACCCCCTCAGCAGTCTCCTGGGGACAGAGAGGAAGTGGCGACGCAGAGCGGTCTCTGTGTGTCACTTGTCCCGAGGACCCTTTAGGACTTGTGGCACCACTACCAGTACTCTGTGCTCTCAGCCTCAGGGCTGCCTCGCCTGTCACCCTGAACAGCTATTTCAGCCTTCCTGAACTAGTCTGGGAAGAAAGGACAGCTGAGTGGGGCCCGGACTCACACCATTCCCACAAATTCCCGATCAGTGACCCTGCCTGGGTCGTCCAAAGCCAGTCCCCTCGTGCTGTAGTTTAGTAAGCATTCCCCAAGGCCAGCTCTGTGCTGAGCTCTATCCTGAGGGACTAGATGTCAGTGAGGGAGGTTCAGCCCTGTTCATAAACCGCATAAAGTCTTACAGGCAGAGAAATGTTTAAATCAACAATCAGTGATATTTTTAGACAGTGGTTTCAAATGGTATTCTATAGAACTTACCACCGTGTGATTCTGTTGTCATTCTTTATACATGGCTTTCATTTTCTAAACTAGTTTAAGCAAGCCACCTGCATGCTCAAGTTTGGGGAAGCACGTTTCAGACTGTTGGAGAGGCCACGGTGCTGCTGGCCTCAGGAATCCTGCCATCCCAGGGCACACGTGTAAACTTGGAAATGGATCATGTTAGAAAGGAGCTTGCCTCTTTCTTTTTTTAAAATTTAGGCCCACAAACATCATACACACTCCACGCTCATTCTAGTCTGAAAAGTAAATGTTACCAGTTCTTCAAACTAGAATTAATATGTTTAGATAGTGATGAAGATGCTGGGGTCGGATTGCTTTGGAACAAAGGGTTGGCTGTGAGAGTTGTGGGGGGGCGTGGCTGTGGCGGTGCTCGGTGGGGCACAGCCTGCCCCTGGGGCTAGAGAGGAGTCCAGGGAGGCCCTGGAGCCAAGGCCGCGGGGTTCGTTTGAATTTGAGAGGCGAACAGGCTAAGAAATACATTCTAGACAGAGAAGCGCACCTGTAAAGAGAGCCCAGATGACCCGCCGGGCCTCCAGGCCTGCGAGCTGACCCTCCCTCTCTCCCTGCGCACAGTGAGCCCTGATTTTGACAGGACTTAAGCACACGAGGGGAGGTGTAGCGTACAGGCCCACTGAGGAAGGCTGAGGGGCTGGAATGATAGGAGGGGACCAGCCAAGAAGATCTGCAGAAGCATCCCAGGGAGAGACAGAATGTGCAAGACCCAAGGCAAGGAGGGTCTGAGGATCGGAAAGACAACGTCAGTGGAAGAGCGCAGTGAGAAGGGGGACAGACGGCATGGGCCCCTCGGGCCACGGTGGGGTTGTTGGAACAGGGCACAGGTGGTGGCAGGGAAAGGAGAGCAGGCTGCTACTGGGCACTCAGAACCATCCTTCCAGCCCCGGCTTTGCTTCCAAGAGGGCATCGCTTGAAAGAACGTGGACTGCAGAATCAGCCAAATAAAAATCAATGCAGGTTATTATGGCCTGTGTGAACTGTTTAACCTCTTTGTGCTGTTGTTTCCTAATCTGTAAAATAATCATACCGTCTGTCAGACGACCCTTCCTCACGGGGGGGGTGGGGGGGGGGACGCAGGAGCGAGGACGGAGTGTGTTGGTGGCGGCAGAGGAGGGGAGCACAGCACCGCTCGGTCGGAGGGCCGTGCTCTCTTGCCCCCTTGTTCTCCACGGCAGCCGGAGAGCTGCCCTGGAGAGAACTGGGAATCCTAGATCATAGCCATCGCACGACACAGGTTCCCGCAGACAATCCCACGGTACATTTGGGCTGCTTCTGACTAGTAGATCCCCTGAGAGATTTTAGCCGCTTTCAAAGGGATTCTGCAACGGAGCATTGCAGGAATCACTCAGGAGCTAGACATCGTTTTATTGGATTTATTTGTCATTATAAATAAACCTTAATTTGTTTTTGCTATTTATAAGGGCTCCCTTAAGTTGCTGGTTTTTAGCTGTCAGCCAGCAAGGCTCTGGCTGTGTCTGAATACAGGGTTTCCCCAGGATGAGGAACCTGGGGGGCCCTCTATGCAGGCTGCTCAAGCTACCAGTGAGCAAGTGCCCATTTCTATTTTTCCTAAACCATCATAGACCCAATAGTCTTGTAAAATAAAAATCAGTTACTAGAAAAAGGAAGTTTTTAAAAAGATGTACAAAATATAAGCCAAACTTTTTTATTGCAAACTCTAACAAACCTAGAAATTACTGTTTCATATTTACCGCAGAAATTTCTAAGGACACTTGCCTTCTGGTACAAATTATTCCTGCCCTGCCCTGGTTCCCTGACTATGCTGGGAGCAGCCCCCCACTCCTCTCCATGAGGCCATCTGTGCACCTGATGGAGGAGGCATGTCTTGTCTGAAAAGTTAACTCTGTAAGGTTGCTTTGTCCGTAATATTTCCCAGAGGCTTTCTAATAGGTCAGGATCCTCAACTGCTTTCTGGAGCCTTCTGTTTTCAGGACTTCCATCACTGTGTGGTCACTGTGAGTGACAGCCACTGTGTTCTCGCATGCACCTTGGTGAGCTGGGACCTGCCACACATTATAGGTTTATATGTGATCCCTAAAACTAGCAATAGTGTGTTAACTTTTCTTGAATTGCTTCTTCAGGATAAATTTTTAAGATTTTGGAAGTGTCATCACGGGCACAGAGTGAGTGTCTCTGTGGTCGCACGTCCCTGCAGCGTGTGCACAGAAGTGGCCCCCGTTTGAGTGTCAGCTCGCACTCAGACTTTGCATCGTGCTTCTGCAGGACGTGTGGCTCCGGGCAGGAGTCCCAGAGCTCGCTGGGCCACACTCCTCTTTCTCAGGCTGACAGATACAGATCTCTTCCCACATGTATGTGGGGTTGTGGGTGGGAAGTGTCAGGCAGCTCTTGCCAACCACCCCCTCAGCAGTCTCCTGGGGACAGAGAGGAAGTGGCGACGCAGAGCGGTCTCTGTGTGTCACTTGTCCCGAGGACCCTTTAGGACTTGTGGCACCACTACCAGTACTCTGTGCTCTCAGCCTCAGGGCTGCCTCGCCTGTCACCCTGAACAGCTATTTCAGCCTTCCTGAACTAGTCTGGGAAGAAAGGACAGCTGAGTGGGGCCCGGACTCACCATTCCCACAAATTCCCGATCAGTGACCCTGCCTGGGTCGTCCAAAGCCAGTCCCCTCGTGCTGTAGTTCAGTAAGCATTCCACAAGGCCAGCTCTGTGCTGAGCTCTATCCTGAGGGACTAGATGTCAGTGAGGGAGGTTCAGCCCTGTTCATAAACCGCATAAAGTCTTACAGGCAGAGAAATGTTTAAATCAACAATCAGTGATATTTTTAGACAGTGGTTTCAAATGGTATTCTATAGAACTTACCACCGTGTGATTCTGTTGTCATTCTTTATACATGGCTTTCATTTTCTAAACTAGTTTAAGCAAGCCACCTGCATGCTCAAGTTTGGGGAAGCACGTTTCAGACTGTTGGAGAGGCCACGGTGCTGCTGGCCTCAGGAATCCTGCCATCCCAGGGCACACGTGTAAACTTGGAAATGGATCATGTTAGAAAGGAGCTTGCCTCTTTCTTTTTTTAAAATTTAGGCCCACAAACATCATACACACTCCACGCTCATTCTAGTCTGAAAAGTAAATGTTACCAGTTCTTCAAACTAGAGTTAATATGTTTAGATAGTGATGAAGATGCTGGGGTCGGATTGCTTTGGAACAAAGGGTTGGCTGTGAGAGTTGTGGGGGGGCGTGGCTGTGGCGGTGCTCGGTGGGGCACAGCCTGCCCCTGGGGCTAGAGAGGAGTCCAGGGAGGCCCTGGAGCCAAGGCCGCGGGGTTCGTTTGAATTTGAGAGGCGAACAGGCTAAGAAATACATTCTAGACAGAGAAGCGCACCTGTAAAGAGAGCCCAGATGACCCGCCGGGCCTCCAGGCCTGCGAGCTGACCCTCCCTCTCTCCCTGCGCACAGTGAGCCCTGATTTTGACAGGACTTAAGCACACGAGGGGAGGTGTAGTGTACAGGCCCACTGAGGAAGGCTGAGGGGCTGGAATGATAGGAGGGGACCAGCCAAGAAGATCTGCAGAAGCATCCCAGGGAGAGACAGAATGTGCAAGACCCAAGGCAAGGAGGGTCTGAGGATCGGAAAGACAACGTCAGTGGAAGAGCGCAGTGAGAAGGGGGACAGACGGCATGGGCCCCTCGGGCCACGGTGGGGTTGTTGGAACAGGGCACAGGTGGTGGCAGGGAAAAGAGAGCAGGCTGCTACTGGGCACTCAGAACCATCCTTCCAGCCCCGGCTTTGCTTCCAAGAGGGCATCGCTTGAAAGAACGTGGACTGCAGAATCAGCCAAATAAAAATCAATGCAGGTTATTATGGCCTGTGTGAACTGTTTAACCTCTTTGTGCTGTTGTTTCCTAATCTGTAAAATAATCATACCGTCTGTCAGACGACCCTTCCTCACGGAGGGGGAGGGGCGCAGGAGCGAGGACGGAGTGTGTTGGTGGCGGCAGAGGAGGGGAGCACAGCACCGCTCGGTCGGAGGGCCGTGCTCTCTTGCCCCCTTGTTCTCCACGGCAGCCGGAGAGCTGCCCTGGAGAGAACTGGGAATCCTGGATCATAGCCATCGCACGACACAGGTTCCCGCAGACAATCCCACGGTACATTTGGGCTGCTTCTGACTAGTAGATCCCCTGAGAGATTTTAGCCGCTTTCAAAGGGATTCTGCAACGGAGCATTGCAGGAATCACTCAGGAGCTAGACATCGTTTTATTGGATTTATTTGTCATTATAAATAAACCTTAATTTGTTTTTGCTATTTATAAGGGCTCCCTTAAGTTGCTGGTTTTTAGCTGTCAGCCAGCAAGGCTCTGGCTGTGTCTGAATACAGGGTTTCCCCAGGATGAGGAACCTGGGGGGCCCTCTATGCAGGCTGCTCAAGCTACCAGTGAGCAAGTGCCCATTTCTATTTTTCCTAAACCATCATAGACCCAATAGTCTTGTAAAATAAAAATCAGTTACTAGAAAAAGGAAGTTTTTAAAAAGATGTACAAAATATAAGCCAAACTTTTTTATTGCAAACTCTAACAAACCTAGAAATTACTGTTTCATATTTACCGCAGAAATTTCTAAGGACACTTGCCTTCTGGTACAAATTATTCCTGCCCTGCCCTGGTTCCCTGACTATGCTGGGAGCAGCCCCCCACTCCTCTCCATGAGGCCATCTGCGCACCTGATGGAGGAGGCATGTCTTGTCTGAAAAGTTAACTCTGTAAGGTTGCTTTGTCCGTAATATTTCCCAGAGGCTTTCTAATAGGTCAGGATCCTCAACTGCTTTCTGGAGCCTTCTGTTTTCAGGACTTCCATCACTGTGTGGTCACTGTGAGTGACAGCCACTGTGTTCTCGCATGCACCTTGGTGAGCTGGGACCTGCCACACACGCCTCCTTCAGCGCACGTGAAGAGCAGCAGGCTGTGGTCCACAGCCGCGCAGCCGTGACCTGCAGCTCATCCTCCTCCTCTTACCCGGTGCAGTTGATGGCCTTTCCAAGGGCGCTCTGTGCCTGAGACTATACTGCGCAGGGCTCTCCTGCGAATGGGCCGAGGGCCTGCAGCCCGGACACAAGCCTCAGTCTGTTTAGAGGACTTTCCTTTCTGTTGGGCGCCGCTTAAAGATAGAGTAAATTTGTTACTTGCTTATTTTTATCCCTGTATGCACAGTAATTTTCCAGTGCAGTACTGTGCTAAAGACAGGGCTTAATTTTAAAATGAGAAGCTCTTGTCTACATAAAGCCAACTTTGTGTTCTGAGAAAGGAAATAGATGTTTGAGCTGTTCTTCCTCTCAGACAGATCCAGTCAGTCTGATGAGAGATGAATGCCAAGACAGGGTCAAAGAGCATGGCCAGGACAGCTGTCAGAAGCCTGCTTCTGCTTCTGTTCCTGCCTCGGAGCCGGGCCACCTCCCTCCCATATTGCTGTCTCATGCCGGAGTCCAGGTTTGAGGACAGGGTAGTAGGGTCAGTCGGACAGGGCTGGAGTTGAAAGCCATTAGTCTTCAGTTTTCTGGAGTGATGGCAGTGTGAGGGTTGAATCCAAAGCTGGCCTGCTGGGCACTGTGTCCGTAGAACCGGAAACAGTGCTGCCACTCATCTGCTGCCTGAGAGAATGGAAGATACATGCCCACACATCAAAGTATGTTTATAGCAGCATTTCTTTGTGATATCAAGAACCAGAAACAACCCACTTGCCCACTGACAGCAGAATGGAGACACCCGCACAGTGGGACACTGCATAGCCCCTGCATGCGAGCTCAGGACGACCTGCGCGGAGTTTGTGGGAGAGCATGTGAGCAGGACCTGCAGGGACAGTCCCCGTGGGCCAGATGCCAGAGCAATGGGCCCTTGGCGAGCTGGGGGCAGAGCGCAGCTGGGCCTGTGAGGTGGTTTGCTTTGTGTCTTGACCTGGGTGGTGTGTCAGGCAGGTGCACACATATGTAAAAATGTGTTGAGCTTTATGCCTTAGATTTGTGAACTTTGTTGTGTCTAAGTTATACCTAAATTTTTTTTAATGCACACCCAGTAGGGAAAATAATCAAATAGCCTCCAACATTTTACTTCGGTGATCATTTGTTTTTAAGAATTTAAATATAAATTGTCTGATGTTATCTGTGATATTACTGTCTTCATATCTACAATATTCTGTAAGGGGGAAAAGGAGAACTTAGCTTCATCCGGGAGCAGAAACAATAGAACGCCCCTCTTTCCGGCGGGCTGTCCGGGCCATATCGCTCTTTAATCCCCACGTTGGCAGCCGCCTTTCATCCGGGCAGGCTGTCAGCTATGTGAGGAAAAGGCTTAAAGTTTTCATTCATGGAACATGAGTGGACTTTAAATAGGTCAAATTAAAACCCTCTCTTTGAGAAAGTATGGCATAAGGGCTTTGCCATATGCATGAAGAGAAATCATATGATTTATATGGAAATAAAAATTCATGTAGATACATGAAACAGCACTTTACTGTATAAGCAGACAATAATTGTGAGTTGCTTTTAAGTAAATAAGCCAATAAGATATTTCATGCATACAAAAGATGCTCACTAAATATTTGCTTCCTGACTGAACCCACCTTAAGTTACCTCAAACAATTAATTCTACCTTTCTAAACTTGAAGTTCCTCATAAAATGTCTTTTCAGTATTGCACTTTTATTAAGGAGCTCTATCAGCCGGTATTTACTAAACATCGAGTATGTGTACATTAACTGTGCCAACCACTTATTTCGTCTTTGTAATAATTTATGGAATGGGCGTTAGTCTGCCCATTTTATAGGTGAGGGAAATGGGTTTAGAGAGAGTAAGTGCCTTATCCAAAGAGGTGTTGACAGTTCCCAGGAAACTCAGGCAGTCATTCATTTCCACCTGTTTGTCTTGTTCTCCAAGGTGTAGTGGACTACAGAGGGGAAGCAGACGGCCCACGGCCTCTGTCCTCACAGGGCGCGGCATCTAATGAGAAAAAAGAAATGTCTGTTATCTGTGAGTGGGAGAAGGGCAGATCACAACAGGAGAAAGCATTTTGTTTACTTAGATGGCCAGGCCTCAGCGCCTGTGCAGAGGTGCTGGGCCACACCACCCAGAGACCCAGAGAAACAACCACAGGCAAACTGGGCAGCCGTGAGCAGTTTGGCAGCTGTGTGCAGAACTTCTCAAAGGTTCGAAACCTCTAACTCAGTAATCCCGTTCTTAGAAGTCTGTCCCAGGAAAAAATAATCAGGGATTTAGGCAAAGGTTTGTATACAAAGGCCACTGCCTATTTACACCTATTTAAGGCCACTGCTTAGTTATACAGTCGAAATTTTGAAAGTGGCCCAAATGTTCAACCAGCAGCAAGAGAACTCTTTATTTTATCTGACGCTTACAAGCACTGACTTAGTACTTTGTCAGTATTAATTCATTTAATCCTCCTAGCAAGCCTGGCAGCAGTCACTAATACTACCCATTTTAGAAATTAAGAAATTTGAAGCTCAGGTCACACAGCTTAAAAGGGTTGGAGCCTCCTCACTGTGGGCGTCTGTGGCAGCATTCATGCTGCAAAATGGTGTGCACCCTTGTAGCATTTGTTTACCAGTTTCCACCGTGTGATACTATGTGAAGGTCATGAAATTGTGTGACTTGATTTCATTTTTGTGGACATGCCTTTCAAAGAAGGGAGAGACGGAGCTCATTTCTGTCTCCCTGCCTCAGCGAGTGGTGTGGACTGTCCTCAGTGCCAGGCCCTCACAGGTGTAGGAAGCCAAAGGCAGATCTGAGGGAAGTGATCCTGCCGACTTCTGCTAAGTGGAAGGTCCCCACGAGACCTGGCGGACCGGCCTAGACTAAAAAATGATGGGCTCTGCCCAGAGCACAGCCCTCGAAGACCTGTGCACACAGCGAGGCATGGATCTGCCCAGCTGCCTGGTTGCTCCTGGGACCCGGCATGGGGCGTGGGGAGCAAGCTGGGAGCCACCATACAGACTGGTGTTCATGAGAAGAAAACTGTCCACCAACCTTTGCGCCATGACAGCAGGTGCTCTACTGTGCTTATTCCAGAATGAGTGACATTTGTGTACTCTTACTTATGGTAAATCCACGCTTCTCTGGATGCACTTTCGGGGTGGGGGGGGAAACTTGTAATGGAACCACTTGCTGCTTTCCAGACAGCCAAGTATACATAAGCCTTACTCTGCCCGGAAGCCGGAATTGTGCCCCCTGTTTTCCTCCTGGGGTGGAGGTTCTCAGTCAAGAAAACTCCATTTGCTGTGGAGGAGGTGGGGCGCAGGTTTTCTGTTGGTGTGCAGGGCTGTGGCCCAGGCACAGGTCCTGTGCACCTCGCATGTATGGAGAGAAGGGGCTTTGCTGGGGCAGCTGACCTGGGTTTGTCATCTCTGGGTCTTGAGAATTTTTCTGAAACTGGGGAACTCTCAACTCTTCTTTTAGAGGACAGTTGTGTAACAAAAGGAAAGAACTTAGTATAGAATATGTCTGTGATTTTCAAACCAAGAGTGAAAATGGCTTTCTTTGCATTTCTTTAGAAACCTGATGTGCGGCTCTCCCGAGGGAGTGTGGACAGGGAGGATGGATGTCTTCAGGGCCCGGTAAGCAGCCATCCTTTTTATGTCATAAGATATCCAAGTCAGTTTATATAGGTGATACTAAATACAATAATCCAATCTATAAGTAAAGTGAATGTTTTAGCCAAGAGTATAAAACAAAGCACACAGCCCAGCACTATATTCAGACACAGAAGGGTTCTACCTCAATACTAGTACAGTAGTTTCAATAGTAAGCTGAACTCTCTGCTCCCTAAAGAAATCTGCAGCCATGTTAACTGTCCATAGGCACAAGTTGTCTTTTGCTAAATTGTTGTGCTCTTATTGCATGGTTACAAGTTTCAAGCCACAGAAAGCTTGTTCCAGCAAAAAAGATGTTTTTGTTGTTGCAACGGAGATGCTTGAAACTCTTTAAAGAGCCAGCTTATGGTTATTCCAAATATGTTTAAAGCCTGCTAGAACTATTCCCCAGTCATTTGGGCAGTTAAAATTGTTTTGTTAGGATTTCCATCAGCAGACGTCTGGCTAAAATGAATGCAGATTTCTTTAAACACTTACAGAAATTCCAGTAAAAAAGGGAGAGCTGAGGAAGAGAAACAGAGCAGGGAGGGAGTAGAGGCCTGGGACTGCTGAACACCTAGCTCTAGAGATCTCTGGGAGCACGAACCTACATTGCCTGGTGCTCTGGTGAATAGTGGGGTAGGAAAGCTAAGACAGGCAGAATACCTGGAGAGACAGAGATTCCAGCTGCTTGTGGAAAACAGGGATTCATATCTGGCTGAGCTGGACAGGCAGTCTGAGAGACTTCCTAACAGCAAGATGGCTGCTAAAGGGGCAAGAATGACACAGAGCTTACTGCTCAGGAGAAAGGACAGGTAGACAAAATTGTCTGGGTGCACTCTGCCCAGCAGGTTGGGAACTTAAACGATCTTCAGGCACTCCATCCCCCTGGCTGGCTACGAAGCTCGAAGGCCCCCCATCGTGATATGCAGCCTGCTGTGTCTTCCTCCCGGCCAGCCTGTACCTGGCTTGCAAACCAGCAGCCCCTGCCCTGGCATCAGGCCAGCCAGAGGGAAGCCCCACCTACAGCAGCTACGAATGCAAAGCATAGAGGCTTACACCTGTGTGTTCGGCCCACTGGTTCTGGCAGTGGACGCAGGCATAACAGCCAGGAAACAGGAAGCAACTCTTTCCTCCCCAGACACCAGCACTGCTCCCCTGCAGCTCCCAACACTGCTCCAGGGGCTGAGCAGCTCCAGAGAGCAGAGCTTCAGGGCGCTGGAGGGCACCACATGCAAATATGAAATGTCAAAGCAACCTGGTTCAAAGCAAAATCTCAACACCAGAGAAAGGACCAAGTGAGACTGAATTAATAAATCTCCCTGAAAAAGATTTCAAAATAAAAATCATAAACATGCTCATGGAGGTACAGAAAAATATTCAAGAACTCAGGAACGAATTTAGGGCAGAGATTCAATCATTGAAGAGCACAATGGAGGGTATTAAAAGGAGATTAGATACGGTGGAGGAGACGATAAGTGAAATACAAACTAGGAAAGAGGAATACAAAGAAGCTGAGGCACAGAGAGAAAAAAGGATCTCTAAGAATGAAAGAATATTGAGAGAACTATGTGACCAATCCAAATGGAACAATATTGGTATTATAGGGATACCAGAAGGAGAGAGAGAGAGAGAGAGAAAGTGTTTTAGAGGAAGTAATTGCTGAAAACTTCACCAATCTCAGAAGGAGATAGTTGCTCAGGCCATGGAGGTACACAGATCTCCCAACACAAAGGACCCAAGGAGGACAATAGCAAGACATACAGTAATTAAAATGACAAAGAGCAAGGATAAGGACAGACTATTAAAAGCAGTCAGAGAGAGAAATAAGATCACATACAAAGGAAA